CAAAACAGAACAGATTGATTCCATGGTGGCCCTTAAGGAGGTTGTCCTGAGGCCTGCCTCCCCAGGGCCACCTGGCTTTGTCCTTTCCAAGGCCTGGTTTGTCAGGGTTTTGTCTGGTTCTCTGAGAGCTATAGACTGAATGTTTTTGCTCCCCCCAAATTCATGTGCTGCAACCTAATTTCCCCATGTGATGGTATTTGGAGGTAAGAGCTTTGGGAGTTGATTAGGTCCTGAGGATGGAGCCCTCATGAACAGGAGTAGAGCCCTATAAAAAAGACCCCATGTGGTAGGGAGACAGCTCAGGGGTAGAGTGAATGCCCAGCATGCACAAGGTCCTGGGTTCAATCCCCAGTCCCTCCATTCAAACAAACAAACAAACAAACTTAATTATCTCCCCATACCCTCCCCCCTCAAAAGAAAAAGACCACAGAGAGCACCTTTGCCCCTTCCACGGTGCGAGAACACAGCAAGAAGTCAGCTGCTTATGAACCAAGGAGTCTGGCTGTCATCGGACACTACATTTGCTGGCGCCTTGATCTTGAACTTCCCAGCCTCCAGAACCATGAGATATCAATGTCTGTTGTTTATAAGCCACCTAGACTACGATATGCTTTTACAGAAGCCTAAACGGACTACAACACCACCCACAAACTTCTAATAAATTCTACCTTTTGCTTTAGTTAGAACCAGAGTTGGTTTCTGTTGCTTGTATCCGAAGATGGTTTCCCATTGTTCTCAAACAGCCTAAAGAATACGATTTCTTGAATGGCTCTATGTGTTATATTCACTTATTTGGCTGATTTCCTGTTGTTTTCTGCTTCCCTGGCAATAGTGTTACTACTTTCAATCAATCTCTCCCTTTTTTTCCTCCCAGTTCTGATACAATCCCTGAACAACATACTGCCAACATGGCAGAGGAAAGAAAGCTAGAATAAGTCTTCTTTATAGGAAGAACAGCTCGTTTCTGACACCCATTGGCCAATTTTGTTCCAATGTGTATTCATTCACTCTTTAATTTGTAATTCATTTTTAATGTTGGAAAAATCTTCTAGACTGTCTAGGGCAAGAATGGCAAATAGGTTTCGTCTTGGCTTCCAGCTTCAATTAATTGGTCAGGATAACTTGAGTGTTGTGCTGCATGTGGAGGGCGCAGTGGGAGACGGGTGTCATAATCAATTATCCGTGTTCCACTTGGTCGGGGAAAGCGGAAGTCTGGATATATGTACCGCATATTTATCATTCCTGATCTCATGCAACTTCCAGCCTTGTCTGAAAAGTCTCCAGTCTATAATGTTGCTCTGAGATGGTTTCTGCTTAAGCGCGTTTATTGGAACAGCTCACTTCGTATTTGGATTTCTCTATTCGTTACTAGGATCTTCCCTGGGAGTATGGTGTAGGGGAAGGAGCTGGGCTGATTTAGGTAACCTAAAGCTAATTCTGACTCTGCCACTGACTAATTATGTGATTCTAGGGAGTAACTATCTCTTTGGGTCTCCGTTTTCCACCTGAGAAATGAAAAACGTGAACTGAGTAACCACAGAGTTTCCTTCCAGCTTTAAGATCCTATTATTCACATGAGTCAATATCTGCCTCTCAGAGACAGGTTGCATTGGCCCCGCTTACACAGGCTGGCATATATGAGAGCCCTTCAAATATCTGGGGACCAATGGCCTTCTGAATTTTTTGCTCTAGGCTAAACACGACCAGTTTGTTTAATCATTTCACGTAAGATGAGGTTTCCAGGATTTTTACCATTCTGGTCATTCTCTTCTGGACACTTGAGTTCTCCAGTGTCTCCCTGGAGGTGGGGCTCCCAGAACTGGACCCAGACTTGTCGTGCAGAGGGAGTCTCCACATCACTCACCCATGTGCTCAGCCAGCCCCTCCTGCTGGACAGGACCCGCGCTGGCCAGTGCACAGCCTGAGGGGAGGCGCCCACTCAACCTTTCCCGAATCTAGGGATGTGTCGTGCAGTTTCAGAGACCACCCCCCCACTTCAAGCTGCAGGCGAAACAGATGCAGAGAGCCATGGAGTCAAATCTGGAAGGAGACGGTGCCTCCCCCGAGGACCAGTAAGTAATCAAGCGCTGATGAACTGAACAGGTGCTACGTCTAGATAAACAGAAGGGATATTTGCCAGAGATGTCATCACTGTCAGCAGAGTTGTTCTTTTTTCATTTATTAAAACACTTCTGACTGAAGTATAGTTGATTCACAATATTATATTAGTTTCAGGTGTACAACATATTGATTCACTATTTTTACAGATTATACTCCTTTTAAAGTTATTCTAAACTAATGGCTGTGATTCCCTGTGCTGTGCAATATATCCTTGTAGGTTATTTATTCTATACATATTAGCTTGTACCTCTTAGTCCCCTACCTCTGTCTTGCCCCTCCCTCCTTCCCTCTCCCCAGTGTTTCTTTGTTTTTCAATGAGGCATTGGATAGTCATATCTCCATTGGTGAAATAAACTGTCTCTAACTCTTGTCTTTCGCAATGCCCCCCTTCATTCTCTCTGACTTCTTGGCACGTGACCCCTTTGTCCTAGCAGCTCTTGCATTTGTGCTTTGCGTATGACAGGTCCAAAGGCTCTTGCTCAAGGGAAATATAAGGAAAACAGGGAAAAGCAAATGCCGATTTGGAGAGGAGTCTGGTCTGACCACGAGCCTTTTGGAAGTAATGGCACAAAGGTCGTCATGGGAGGAATCTGACACCCGGACAGAAGGCGGCGCTCCTGGCATCCCTAACTCCAGGGACGGGGTTTCTGAGGACAAGATCCCAGGTGCTGTGGCCCAGGCCATCACAGTGACCCTCCCCCTTCCATCCCCACTCCCACCCTCTTTGTTTTGACCCAGTTGCCCTGGCCTTTGCTCTACTCTTCTTAAACCCCAGCCGTGCTCCCACCTCAGGGCCTTTGCATCTTCTGCTCTCTGCTTGGAACACTCTTTGTCCCACCACTGTATGGCTCGTTCCACTGCACTGGACTTCTGTTCAAACGTCAGCTCATCAGGAGACGCTCTCTGAACTCCTTAGCTAAGATGGACCCCTGCTCCCCAACACACCACTCTCTTGCCTTTGACTCTGCGTTGGCTTTCGTACTAAAACCTGTCCATATGTGACATGCACTTGTTTATTTATATCATCTAGAATGTAAACTCCATGAAGGAAGGACATTGCTTTATCCACCGGTGATTCCCCAGTGCCTTGAAGTGTACCCAGCGCGTGCTACACCCTCGATCAGTGTTTGTTCTTGTGTGACTTTTAAAGCACCAATCCTAAAGCTTAGCAGCACGAACACCGCTCTCACAGAAGCACCTGAGTTTTTCAGTGGTGGGTTAATTAGTCCACTAGTGGACAAGTGAGTCCCTGGGGATGGGAACCTCAGCTGACTTGAGCAGCAGGGATCTGTTCAAAAGGCCCACAATACGAAACTAGTCTCTACATGAAATCACCAGGAGTTAACGTGTGAAGGGAGAACTGTGGGTACCACCCCACCCAGAGCTGCTCTGATCCAAGGTGGGGCCCTGGGGATGAAGGGAAGAGAGATGGGGAGTGGCGCGCGTGTGTGTATTTCCCCCACACAACCACCATGACTCATTGCTAGACCCTGCGATTTGTCTTTCACATCGTTTTAAGAGACTGAGGCCAGTGGCACATGACTCATTGACCAGGCATGGGGAATGTCTCTAGGTGGCAGGTGGGGACAGCAGTAGCTCACGTGGACTTGCAAGAAAGTGATGGGACAGGTGGATGCAGGAAAGGCATGAGGACTGGGTGAAGCCAGGTGAGCAGCAGGAGAGCAGAGCCTCTGAGCAGAGCCAGCAGGCAGGGAAATCCCAAGACTAGTCATGTGAAGGGGTGGACACGTGAATCTGGAAGCCAGCTGAGTGACTCTTTTCCCAAGACGAAGTGATTCACCAGGAATGGGGGAGAATAAGGAAGATCCTTGGACAGGACTGACGTCCTGAGGGGAGTGATGGAAGCTGCCCTTGGAAAAGACTTCAAAACCTACCCCTGTTTCTTCAATGCCTCCTTCCTCTATTGAGAGAGGCCCCAGAAAGAATATCCAATTACGCCTGGAAGAGAGTAACTCTGCACCTTACCATCTACTATTCCTAAGTATGAGTTTAGCTCATCAGTTTGTTTCCGGTGGCAATACTCCAGAGCCTTTTCAGACAGAGTCACTCAGCAGCAGGTTGTGTTTTCCAAAGATGGCCACAATAATACTCTTCTTTCCCACATGCTCTCCTTTCAAAGTGACCTTGAACATCTTCCTACTGAGTGGTGGATCCCTTGAACTTGGGTGGATCTTTTGCATGTGCATCTGAAAATGCGTGTGGCAGGTTCTGGGATGTCACAGTACCCTTCTCCTGTCATTTCCCTTCTGCTTAGTTTTTCCTGGCTCCTCCTGCCCTCAGTCTCAGGCAGAGACTCTCATTCTAAGCTGGGCTGCTTTTCTGGAAGTTGTGCAAGAACTTCCTGTCGCCTGGGGCAAATTTAATCTCTTTTTTTCTGGTCACTGTGCTGGACAGTGAGGAGAGAATCCCAAACCCTACCCAGCTCCTGCAGGAGGTATGGTGGTCAGCGCTGAGGGTGAAGTTGACTATTAAAAAGCAAAATGGCACCCACTCCAACCATCAGTGGGATGTCAACCATCTCTTGATTGTCTGTAGCTGTAAATTACCTTTGAGGACATGAACTCAGAGGACTTGAAAATCCTCCAGACCAGAAGGAGAAACCTTGGACCCTCACCTCTCACTTTCTCCTGCTCCTAGGCCTTTTCTAACATTAATTCTTTGGTCACCGGGCAGCATCAGGGGCTCAGAATACAGGGGCTGGGACTGGAGCTGGAAGTAGGTGATTCAGAATTTCTCTGTTCAAATGTCTAATGCCTGTTAGAGCCTGGGACCCAGGCTGGAGGCAATCTTTTGATGCTGGTTAGTTAATACTTACATTAGTCTGCTAGAGTTGCCGTAACAAGATACCACAGACTGAGTCACGTAAACACAGAAATTTATTTTCCTACAGTCCTGGAGGCTGGAAGTCCAAGATCAAGGTGTCAGCAGGTTTGGTTTCTCCTGCCTCTCTCCATGGCCTGCACAGGGCTTCCTTCTCTTTATGTCCTCCAGTGGCCCCTTCCCTGTGTGTGCATGCCTCCCTGGTGTCTTGCCTTCTTCTTATGAGGACACCAGACATGTCGGATTAGGCCATCCCAATGACCTCATCTAACCTTAATTATCATTTTAAAGGCTCCCTCTCCAAACACAGGCATATTCTGAGATATTGGGAGTTAGGAGGGGATGAATCAGTCCATAACAATACTTCATAAACAGCGGTGGGGGAGTGAGTGCCCTGGACAATCAATGTCCCTGTGGATCCTAGAGGACTTCAGTGTCCTCGAGGGGATGTTCTGTTGGGCCCGTGTTGCTCAGAGCAGAGCCAGGACATGCACCACGGGGAGAAAGCAGGGAGAGGATGTTCACTGTCCTCCCAGTGTGACGGCTGCCCCGGCTGCTCCTGGGAGGTGGTTCTGGGGTCTCATGGGAGGCACGAGGTCCACAGTGGATTCCAGTCACCAGCTACGTCCCAGAGCATCCTGTGTCTGGGCAGGGGGATCCCTCACGATCCCAGCATCAGTTTATATCCTCCATCGTGGCAGACCCTACACAAGGGGGTTCGCTGCCTCTGGAGCCACTTCGTCAGCACAGACATCCTTCTTTTTCTTCCCTGACAAGGAGATCAGAACAGAGGTTACCCCTCCAGTTTGTACCCAAGGCCTCTGAATCCTAACTGTCCTGGTCCAAGATCACCTCGGGCAAAGGGATATCTCTCCCGGTTTCCTAAGACCCTGGAAAAGGAGATGCTTCAAGGATAGGAAGTTCTTCCTAATGTCTAGCCTTCCTCTGCAACCACAGCATACATTTAGCTGCAGAAGGTATAGAGAGTGAGAGCTGGATGGACCTAGTGAAAGGACCAGGCAGAAGCCAGGTGGCAGAGCCAGGGCCAGCCTCCAGGTGTCCTGGGTAGAGCCTTTCCAAAGCCCCAGGTGGTTGGGTTCTCTCTGTCCCTTCTCAGTCACCAACGCTGCTCTTTTCTGAGCCTTGAAGACATTAGGTGAAGTGAAAGAAGTCAGTCACACAGGACTGTGTAGTGCTCGATTCCATATACATGATATGCCCCAAATAGACTGTCTGGAGACAGAAAGCAGAAGGTTAGCAGTTGCCTGGGGCTGGAGGGGAAAGGGGGATGAGGGAGTGATGGCTAAGGGGTTTGGGTTTTGGGGGGGGCAGATAATGAGAATGTTCTCAAATTGACCGTGATGCTGAACATGCAATTCTGCAACTGTAATAAAAGCCATTGAGTTTTACACGTTAAATGCCTGAACTCTATGGTATGTCAATGATATTTCAATAAAGCCGTTAAAACAAAAAGCTGCTCTTTTCCTGGCTTCCACCTTCTTATTGCAAATCTTGGGGACTGTCCGGAGCGAAGGGCCAGGTCAGACCCTCGCAGCAGCCGGCGGGGCCCCTCGGTGGAGTGCGGCCTCAGCTGCTCCCACTTCCCTCACTTGCCCACGGGGAGAACCTCTAGCAGCCCACCAGCCAGCGCCGCTCCTTGCTCAGTGGCTGGGCCGAGACTCTCGCCTTCCAGGACACAGCCACCAAAACGCAGTCTCATGCCTCCCTCTCCCCGCTGACCCGCTCTTGTCCAGCAAACCCACACAGCCCGGGAGGGACACGTCTATGGAGCCCAGGGCAGTCGGGACAGTTCTTTCAGGGGCACCGCATCCTGGGGCTGAGCCGGGCATGGGGCTCGGACCCCGGTGTGGCCTCTGGGTGTCCCCTCCCCTCTTCTCCTGGAGGAGGAGGTCCTATCAGCCCCTGGTCACCGAGATGCTTCTCTCAGGGAGCATTTCCTAGGATGGCAGGCAAAGAAGGACTTGGGATCCAACCAGACTTGCACTCAACACACGTTTATGGAGACCGGCTATGTTCCAGGGACCACGGCTAGGTGCCCAGTGGTGACCCAGCCTTTGTCTTTCAAGTGCTGAGAATTCCATGCAAGAGGAAGTGCAGTAAGCGCTGCGACCGGGTAAGAGTCAAGGCAGGACCCTAACCCAGCCTGGGCATTTAGGGGAGAAAGTCAGAGAGGCTTCCTGGAGGGGGCACACCTTGAAGGTGGTGGAGGTGACAGACAAATGAAGAGGGGAGCTGGGTGGGAAATCCTGAAAGTGTGTTGCAGACAGAGAGAATAGAACAGGTAAATGCCTACAGGTGTCGGAAGAGAGGCGTTCACGAGGAGGACTGCCAACGGACTTCGGGTAGTTCAGTCTGATTCAAGACCAGAATGTTAGATGGTGCAGGCGAGGAGATGAGGTGGGAGAGGAGGTAAGGAGGGCAGAGCACATGAAGCCTAGATAGGAGGATGTCCAAACTCTGCCCTCCTCCCCAGGAGACCCACCTCCTCTACCCACCTCCAGCACCCGCAGGACTCCTACCTGAGCAGGGGCCCCAGTGCCAGGCAGAGACACCAGCCAGGATCAGGAGCAGCAAGACAGGCAGCACCACCAGCAGTACATCTTTGTAGGAGGTCCTCCCTGGACCTGGACATGGAGGGGACAGGGCCACAGGTGGACTGGATGCTTAAAAATCCCTCAACCACTGACCCCTGTCCCTTGACATACCTGCCTCGCGATGGCAGCTCTCCCAGGGGGTGACTGTGGCCAAGTCCCAGCTGACAGGGTTCGAGACAATGCAGGAATAGGCCACGCTTTTGTCTTCTGGTCCCAGGGAAACCCTCAGTGCTGGGCCATCCGTGAAGAGGCCACTTGGCTCGATCCCAAGGTCAATAGTCCCCTCCCGTCGCCAGCTGTAGGTTATGTCACTGATGTTGGGGGCCCAACAGGACAGGAACACTTGGCAGGTCTTGGGGGCCTGGGCATCCCCTGATACAGCAATGAACACTTGTACCACGGGCCTGGGCACCGCATCTGGGCAAGAAGAGCAGAGCCAGTGTGGGTTATGGGGATGCTGC